GAAGCAAGTGATCAGATTAAATTGCCCAATTGCTCCTGCGCTGAATTCATCTTCAGAATTCTCCCATATTGATTAGAAACTCCAGTTAATCTCCCTTTATAAATTAATTTTATTAAACACAAAAATAATCCCTTTTTTTTTTTTTGGTACCATGAATTAAACCCAGAGGGGCTTAACCCAGAATGTGGCTTAATTGAGCCACATTCCAAGCCTTTTAAAAAATATTTTATCTAGGGTCAGGGTCTCACTGAGTTGCTTAGGGCCTTGCTATATTGCTAAGGCTAGCTTTGAAGTTGCGATCCTCCTGTCTCAGGCTCCTGAGCCACTGGGGTTATAGGTGTATGCCACTGCACCTGGCTAATCCCTTCATTTGGAAGCACTGCTTATTGTTGGGTAAGATGGTGTGTGCCTGTAATCCCAGCTACTCGGGAGGCTGGGGCAGGAGGATAGAAAGTTTGAAGACAGGCTGAACAATTTAGCAAGACCCTGTCTCAAAATGAAGCTGAGGATGTAGCCTCTTGGTAGAGCACTGACTAAGCATGCATGAATCCCTGGGTTCAATTCCCAAACAATACAAAAACACTGTTTACTAATGTTATATCACAAAATTTCCAGAGGTTTCTCTGAAGTTGGGAAACCCCTGATAGATATGACTGACCAATGGAGGAAGCACACAATGTTTGGAAGGAAGAGGAGTAGGGAGAAGAGGGAGACAGCCAGTGTGAGGGAGTTGCTGCTGTGTGCAGACTCTGCTAAATCTAAATTCTTTATCCAAGAGTGCCAATGTCAGTCCTATGAGTGGGGGCTGCCATGTGCTGGAGCTGCTAGCATTGGTTCCCAAGAGCTCACTGTGGATTATCACTTCCCAACTTCAATTTAAGGGCCTCACATTGATGGCCTGACACTAGCCATGGTTGGGGTGGGAAGTATTTGGACGCCAGTAACTGGCAAACCAGAAAGGCTATTGTTCAACATCTATCAGCACATTGCTGGGTAGAGGTCTCTGTTTTACTCTCTTCTGCCAGTGAGGTTACTGAGGCTTAGAGAGGAATAAAGCCTAGCAACCTGACCCCAGAGTCTGTGTCCTCATCAATTTCAAAGCTCATAAAGAGGACACTTCCTTTTGAGGAAGCCATCTATGAACTGAAACATTACAAGGAGGAAAGGAGTGTCATATTTGATGATGTGATTTTTAAGAGTTAGAAGTAGGTGAAAAAAAAAAGGTAATCTCTTCCCTGAGTCATTTAATCTCCTTGGATTTCCATTTCCCAAGTTATCACAGTAAATGATCCCTACTCCAGCTGAGACAAGAGGTAAGTCCCCTTTATGAGTGCAAGGACTGCTGTATAGGCAAATGAATTGTGTCTATGAGTGTCCCTGGTCCCTCTTGATTCTGGGGAATAAAAACTATGCCTACTTCTTGTAGGGAAGAGGTAAACAGAGAGAATATGTCCACAAATGGCAAGATGCATTGAATGCCACAGTTATATGAAGTGATAACTGATGTTTAAAGAAACTATTAAATCTGTTTGGTTCAATGGGGTATGTGGCATCATGCCAGTAAAGAACAGGGTATTTAACTGATATCCACACTCACCTTCTGAACACTATGGGTCCAGTCTGAGAGTGATGGAACAGTGGGACTTATGGGAGGAGGATGCTGGTGGACTTTTGGCTAAGTCCTCATGGCCAAGACTCAAGCATCTGGGCTTTGCAATAACAGACTGTCTTGGGGTGGGGGTAGGGGGAAGACACCTAAAAGGACAATCCAACTATAGCAAGATAAATAGTGTCCCTCAAAATATCAGGCCATAATCTCTAGAATCTGTAAAGGCTGCCTTATATGGGAGAAGGTCTTTATAGATGAGAGGAAGTTAGGATCTTAAGATGGGAGATTATCCTGGATAATCTGAGTGCCCTAAAAGCAATAAAAAGTGTCCTTTTAAGAGGGAGGTAGGGGATTTGATGTAGAAGAGAAGGTGATGTGACCATGAAGGCAGAGACTCGAGTGATTCTGTGTCCCTAGCCTGCCATGCCTGTTATCTTCTTCTCTCTGCAGAGATCATACCTGATCCTGGATCCTTGGAGCACTGCCCCAGGTCCTCCCTTTCCTTCTGGGAAAGTCAGTTTCTTGTGTCTTCTGTGCCAGCATCCTAAACTCAGACTGCTAGGAACTAACAGGTCACATGGGTGACTACGGCAGCTGGGAGGGGGTTGGAGAATTGGGAAGCTGGAGCCCAGTTCAAGGGTCCACCTATGAACTATTTTGAAATATGGACTCAGGACTCAGGTTGTCTTCAAATCTTCACATCTTAGATTTTTACAAGAGAAGTTAAAAAAAAAAAAGACCTACTTAAATGAACTCTCCCAATTTTGTAAATTGGTAACTATTTAAAAAAAATGTTTAATGGAACTAAAAGATTTCTAGCTGGCTGGTTTGGCCTTGGACTATCACTCTGGCAGCATTTACCGGCAGGGTTATATAGTCCCTGGTCAGTGACAGGCCTCCAGACTATCCTTCCAACTCACCTGCCCCTTCTTTGAAAGGGGAATCACACCAACATGATCTTCAAAACCTAAGGGCCTGGAAAATACAGGCCCTCTCCATGAGCAGTCATTTACAAGTGGCTTCATGAAGAGAGAAGGGAAAAGAGGGAGGGAAGAAAATATAGTAACCTTCTTATTGGCAAAGAAAAAAAAAGTTAGCAAAATGCTAGCAACTCTCAGATGTCAACAAAACAGGCATGAGTATCTAGTGTCATTTCAGCTAAACTTGCAGTGCCATCTGTCCAGTTTGTGGAGGATCAGTACTTTTGGGTCCTGGTCTTCTGTGGGTAAAGCAACAAAGACATAATCTGAACATGATCATCAACTAATTGATAAGGAAGGGCCTTTGATCTTGATCCCTGAGGGAACAGTCCAGGAGATCTGAGACCTGAGGCTGCTTTGAATGACAGTAACAGGCATAGCCAAGAGAAAGGACCTAAAACAATTCCTCTTCAGACACAGATGTGCATGGACCTCTCCAGGCCTCAGTTTCCCCCAACGTAAAGGGAAGAGATTTTGTTTCTTTCCAGAAGCATTTTCACAATCTTTGCCAATGGAAAGATATTCTTGTGCCAATGGAACAATAATTTCTATACTATTTTCCTGTAAAGTTGACTAGTTTTTCAAAAACTTAATGAATTCATTATAAAAGAAAACCATGAAAGGAAAACTAGTATTCTTTGCCATACATACATGGACTATAATTTGAAAAAACGCAGACCAACATGTTTAATTCCAGCCAGCTGTTGCTGCCTGCTCTGAATATGGAATGGCTGCCTCTGGTCAAAGGGTGTTTGTCAAGTGTCAGAGAGATGTTAAGACACATTAACACCAAGATGAGACTGTCTCTTGCTCTACTTCTCTCTCTCTCTCTCTCTCTCTCTCTCTCTCTCTCTCTATATATATATATATATATATATATATATATTTCCTTTTAAGAAAGCATTAAAAAACTATGATTTTTTAGATTTGACGGAGGTAGAGTCCCCCAAAACACAGAAAGACATAGGAGAAAGTGGGATACAAGTAGGAAGCAGGATAGTGGTGGTGGTGGGTGGGTGGGTGTGTTGACAAAGGGACATCTGAAGAGGAAAGGGAAGCCTATCTAGTGTCAGAGTCTCCTATGGAAGTCTGGCTCTTAGATCACCAATGAGTCAGTATCTTGAATACTACTCTGAGGGCTGGGAACCTGAAGAGCTTGGGGATCTGGCAAAACTGCCTCCTTTGCCTCATCTCTACCCGGCAAAACGCTCCAGGGCAGCCCTACACATTGCAAATAATGTCTGGAAGTGCTGAGATTTTGGCTGAAGTTTCAGGAATCTAAACTGATGCCTACTCCACCTAGGTGAGGCTCTCTCTCAAAGCCAGCTGCCTGCACCTTGATCAGTCGTTTGTTTTCCCCTCCTCTGGCCTGGGATACAAGGCCTGAACAGACCTTGGCCCAGTGCTCACCGCTGGCACTCCCCACCCTGCATCCCTCAGCAAAGTCAGAGAGACGCCTTTCATAGCTTCAAAAGTTCCACCAGGTTCTCCAGCCACAGGAGGCTGGAATGGGTAACTGAATCCTACTCAAGGAGGAGGTGGGGGGGGGGGAAAGTACAGTGACCTTTTGTCCCAGCAGAAGTTCCCGTCTCTCCCGGCCAGCCAGCGGAGGCGGCCCAGCCAGGAGAGTAAGGAATTACAGATGTGAGCCCAGGGCCATGGCCGCCCTCCCCACTGCCCGGATGCCCAGCGGGACAGCTCGGGACTCCGCGGAAATCTGGACACAGGAGCCGGAGCCCTGCCCAGATGCCCTGAACTCCTCCTAGTTTAGGGCACAGGCTCGCGGGTCTTTACTGCCATTCCCCCGCCTTGCCGAGAGCTCTTTTCAGCAAAGAAACGTCAACACGGAATCCACCCTTCTAGGGGCAAGAGGTTCATTTCGGGTTGCGAGAAAGACGCGCAGGCCCCTCCCCAGCTCACCAAGCTGCTCTGGATGCCCCGGGGTGAGCCTACTGGGAGCGGGCAGTGGGGTTTCCTGGCCTCGGTGGGCGCGGTGGGCTAAGACACGAGCTGGACACCCTGCTCCCAGGATGCTCGAGCTTGCGCGTGGCCGCCTTTGTGGGCGACTCTGGAGAAGTGGAGAAAAGCGCCCTCGCTGGACATGGGGTGGGGACACCTCTGTGTTGAGGGGGCTCCAGGCCCAGGACCGGACTGATTTCCTCCCCTCTGAGGATGGGTCAGGCCTGGGTCCTCTCACAGTGTCGGAGACCGAGGATGGGCATCCCCCTAACACCTCCCTGGGACACCTCTTGTGGGTCCGGGGGTGGGATGAGGCAGGCCTGATCAATGAAAGCCCCACGGTCTAGCACTAGGGCAGATAGGCGCCCCTCACCGGGTCCCTGCTCTTGGCTCTCTGGCGGAAGCGCTGAGGAGCCTTGGAGGAGGGGTCCGCGGATCGACGCTGCACTTACCGCACATGGTGACTGCTCCTCGGGGTATCTGCTTGTCTGCGCGGTCCGGTTACTCCGTGCACTCCGTGCGCTTTGCGCTCCGCGGGCTCAAGCTCGCGCCGCTGGGCCYCTGGCGCTTATAACAGCTAGCCCTTTGAGAGGGGTAGGGCCGGGGCGGGGCCTCTGCCCGCCTGCCTGTTCCCCATTGGTCCCTGGTTGTCTTGACAACTGCAAGGACAGGGCCCCCCAGAGTCAGAGAAGCGGGTGAAGGGCGGTTCCCAGGCGCAAGTCCCGAATGTAATGCAAAGGCGTCGGGGCTGGAGTACACCAACTGCCTGAGTTCTGACCTCAAGTCAGCCACTGCCTAGGCGTGGGACTTTGGGCAAGGAAATTATTTGGGCAAGGAAATTATCACTCCATGCCTCAGTTTCCTCATCTGTAAAATGGGGACAACAATAGAACCTACCTCCCAGGTCGTGGTGAGGATACCAACAGTCTGTGTATGGCACAGCACAAGGTCAGACATAATAAATGTGCACAAGAAAATCCCTACGTTAGGCCCTTATTATTGGTATACACCCTTGTATGTGCCAGACATTTTTTCTGAGTATGAAAAAAGGGGCTCACGATAGACACATAAATCTGGTCCCCCACCCTAGAAGAAAGAATTACTGTCCTTAGGGGAAAGAGGAGAAAATCAGTGCTACTTGAAGATGGAAAAGGACTTTACTAAAACTGGATGGCCACAGCGGTGGCAGAATCCTAACCGGAGATTTACCATGACGCCAGAATTTGGAGGCAGGGATTCCTCAGGTTGGAAGCAAAACTGGGGACGACCCAGAAAGCTGCCCACTTCTGGAGCTGTCTTGCTTGCAGCTGGCCCGCCAGAGAGTCATAGGCCCCCTCAGTCCCAGAATGGCGTGGAGCCTGAATATGACCCGTCTGTGAGTCACCGGGCTGGCGTTCCCTAGTCTTGGTTCCGGCCTCCCCTTCCCTCCCCAATGAACTCCAGGCCCCTAGTCTCCTGAGGAAGGTCACGAGAACTGGCTCAATATTTGCGTACTTTGAAGCCATCTGTATGTGCATTTTTTTTTAACTTAGAAAAAAAATCCTGAAATTCTAAACAGATCCTTCTGCAGAAGGGTTAGGAAAAAAGGAGAAAGAGAAGAATGAAGTGTTTATGGCTTGTGGGAAATAGCAGAGTTGATTTGATGACCATAGCATTTACCCCTTTCCCATTACCATGCCAGGTTCCCATTTGTTTGTTCATTTGTTCATTCATTCATTCATTCCCAAGCACCCACCTCATGCCTGTCCTTGTGCTAGGGACTTGACTAATGGAACAGATCCAGCCTATGCCCTCTTAGCACTTACAAAATGACAGAGAAGGAGACCCTTCATTAATTGTCACACAGATGGACAATTCCAGGTGGGAGAGGGCTGGGCGAGGGTTGGGGAGGGTTGCCAGACTCTGCCTGGGACTGGACTGGGGCTAAAGCTGGTGCAGGTCAGTCGAGAGTCAAGGTAGGTTACCAAAGGAAGTTAACAGACTAGAGAAGGGAGGAAAAAGGCATGTGCAAAAGTCCCATGTCTGAGGGCCAGAACTAAGGTATGGTGGTCAGGATGCTCTACACCATATTGCCCTCCACTGTCTGTAACTGAGGTGGAAACAGGATGATGTCATCAGGCCTTTTGCTTGCACCAAGGCACCAGGACCCCTGGGTCCCAGCAGAGTTAAGATCTGTTCTCCATCCTTCTTGGGGATTCCCATCTTCATAGTGAGAAGTGGCATGAATGACAGCTGTGGCCCCTATGGAGGCATCCGTAGCAGCTGCCCACCTAACCTCCCTTCTGCTTTGGGGACCAGCTCCTAACAATCCTTTGGGAGGGTGGGGCCTGGGCCTGAATAAGAAGCCACTAGATGCTCCTGGCCTAAGTGTTGGTTCAGGGATCAGCATGTGGCCTATGCTGAGCTCTGGACACCAAGCTCAGAGACATGGGAGAAACCATCAGAAAAGATGAGTTGATCCTCTTCTGGATATGCAGCTGGAGACAGGATAGCCTGATGAGGTTAGGGGTCTTCTTGTCACCTTGGAGTGGAAAGCTTTCTGAGCAATCCAGAGCAGAGCAGATCCTGTAGAATAGAGAAAGATACACATTTGGGGGGATCCTGGATTCAGTCAGGACTGAAGCCAGAATATACCCTGGGACTTTTCAGTATTAAAATTTCATGGTTTAGGGCTAGGATTGTAGCTCAATGATAAAGTGCTTGTCTAGCATTTGTGAAGCACTGGGTTTGATTCTCAGCACTGCATAAAATACATAAAATAAAGGTCTATCAACAACTAAAAAGAAAAAGAAGAAGAAGAAGAGGAGGAGGAGGAGAGGAGGAGGAGGAGGAGGAATTTCATGGTTTAAACACATTCCCCCAAAAGCATGTGTTGGAAAACATTCCCAACAGTGTTAGAGGTGGGATCTTGGGCAAGGTATATGGCTAAGAGGTAGAGCGCTTTCCTAGCATGTGTAAGGGCCTGGGTTTTATTCTTAGCCCTCCCCCCCACACACACACAGAAACATAGTTAGGATCTTTGAGAAGTGATTAGCCATGAGGTCTCCACCCTCAAAAATGAATTAAAGCTAATTACAAATTGGCTTGAGGCTGCCAGTTTGTTATCTTATGCTTTTTGCTACCTGATGCTTTCCACTATGAAACAGTAAGAAGGCCCTCCCTAGATGCAGCCTTTTGATCTTGCACTTCCAAGCCTGCAGAACTGTGAGACAAATAAGCTTCTATTGCTAATAAATTATCCAGTATGTCGCATTCTGTTATAGCCACACACAATGGACAAAGACAGGCTCAACAAATTCTAATCTTTGCTCAAGGCATTCTGAAGTGACTTCTGTCATTTGCAATCAGGTAGAGATCTGATTCTTTCAATCTGTTGGAACTAGTGTCTGAAGTACAAGGCAGTAGTTAGGCAGGCAGCGGATGGCCCTAGCCTGTGAAATCCTGCTGGCTGGAGGCAGCTCTCTTTCCTGACCTCATCTGTATCAGAAACCTGTCCTGAGGCAGCTCAGGGCTCCTTAGTGAGATTAAGCACTCTTCCCAGGAAGAGGGGACTGATCTGGATCAGGGAGCCCAGTTGTTACGGTTTAGATATTGAGTGTCACCCAAAAGCTCCTGTGTGAAAAAATTCAAGAAAGTTTAGAGGTAAAATTATTGGGTTGTGAGAGCTATAACCTAATCAGTGCATTACTTCTCTGATAGGAATTAACTGGGTGGTAACTGTAGGCAGGTAGGCTGTGGATGGAGGAAGTGGGTCATTGGGGGTGTGCCTTTGGGGTTTGTATTTTATCACAGAGAGGAGAACTCTCTCTCTGCTACCTGGTGCCAGGTCTCCAGGGGGTTTCTTTCCTCTATCACACATTTCTGCCATGATGTTCTGCCTCATTTCATACTCTGAGGAATGGAGTCAGCCATCTGTGGACTGAGATCTCTGAAACTGTGAGCCCCTAAATAAACTTTTCCTCCTTTAATTGTATTTTCAGGTATTTTTGATCACCACGGTGGGGGAATAGGAAAGCTGACTAAAACACCAGGAAGAGGTCTCTTTTGGAGGAGGGGTGTGACGCAGATCATAGATGCTTCTCCCAGCCTGGCCCCATATCTGTGCTTGGAGGAGAGTGAGTTTGTAAAACTGGAGCCAGAGTTCCAAGGGGTCTAGCTGGAGCAGGGCACAGAGCATATCCCCAGTGGATCCCAGATGTGCAGTACCCAGAAAGAGCTCCATAGTTGGTTTAGTTTYTTTTTTTAGGAGCACCTTTCCCATGCCAACCTCCCGGGTCGGCAGCCATCAGCCTGCCCTTTTCACTACACAAGTCTTTCAAATCTCTTTATGGTTGGGAGATTTGCTCATTGGTTTGGCTTTTCCCAAACAGAGACCTGTTCTATCCTCCTTCCCTCCCTACTGCTCCCAAAGCAAACAGCCCAACCAAGTTCCATGGCTGTGCTGGGGGACTTGGTATATGCCTGCTATCCCCCCAGGCATAGGCCCTATTAAGCTGATTGTCCCTCTGACATTTCCACTAGGGTCTGAGAAGAGTTACAGAGGCCAAGGTATCGTGAGGGTTGACCTCTAACATTTGCTGGGGGTCATGGCTGAACTTTTGCCAACTCTTTTGTTGTCATCAGGGGTCTCGTCTCCAACTCTCCACCTGCCCCAGCTCTGCCTGCATCTGTCTGGGCTGTGGCCACAAGGCAACCTAAGGATGGTCACTTTGTCTTCCAGATCTCCCTCTACCCATCCCCATGCAGAAATGCCAGGTAACTGTTGGTGTTGCCCAGAGATCCTTCAGCCCAGGGCCATGGAGCACAGGGCTCCTTGGCTTTCCATAAAGGGTTCAGGGAGGTGGGAATGCAAGGTGCTGAGGCTTGCAGCTGGGAGTCCTGCATTGGGTCACTAGATATTTGGAAGATTCTAGGAGGACCTATGAGTGGTGCCCAGGGTGGCAGTGGGCAGGATTCTTGGTGCCCAGGGCAGAATCTGCCCCTGAACTTTTCCAAGTGAGTTGTTCCAGGTGTGAAGACTTGGGTGGAATATGTGGGTTCAGGATGGCTGACCCTCAGCTAGATTCAAAGTGGAAGGAACAAGGTGCAGAAGGGCTTAAAGCCAGACCTGGGAGTGGAGCAGGAAGGCTTCCTCAATCCTCCACTCTACCTGTGGGGCTGAAATGAGATGGATGGCCAGATGAGTAGGGCTAAAAAAAGTTAGGGAGTGTTCTGAGGGACTGGTCTGGGGCCCTTGTTTAAGGACAGCCAGAAATGGAGAATTGGGTGGGAAACTGAGTCAGGAATCCTTCCTAAGAGCAATGGTGGGGTGTGTGAGAAGATTCACCTAGGGCTAATTAGAAACTTCACTAGGCAATAGGCAAAGGGAGGGTCATGTAGCTCAGACTTTGGCCCACAAATGGCTCCCCCCCCAATCCTCACCCCAACACCGAGGTGAGAGAGAAGCTTCCCAGCCTCATTCAACTCAGTCTGTGCCTGCACAGTGGTGACTCTTCTGTAGAGCTCTTGGGAGAAAACAGCTGGTTTTACCTTTTTTCTT